GATTCTTTGACTACCTATTTAGCTAAGCCCCGTTTACACTACGCTTAATTTTTGGTACTGTACCACTTTTTGGTTCTTGGACTTCCTAAATAGGTAGTCCAAGAACCAAGAAAGTGGTACGGGTACCAATTTTATCCGTGCCGTACCAAAAATTGAACGTAGTGTAAACGGGGCTTAAGATTGTACACAGTCAGAACTGCAAAACTATATAATAAGAAAGAAATTGTGAGCATTATCGAGAAATATAGTGTACCCTGAAATGTGGTGACACAGCCAGGTGAATATATGAATGAAGGCCAGTAGAATATTATAAATTTTCATATTGTGCTAACAATGAACATATGTCAAAGGTATATTTTTAGTCTGACCATCACACCTTGTAACTGCATGCTGGTATTAAAGTTAATATATGCAGACAACAATCCACACTGGGTTGATACAATGATGGGAATATATTTATTGCATACAGCATACAGCTGATACAAGTACAAGTACAACATTCCGCATTACATAGAGTTTGTGATGAATATGCTACATTTAAATATATAAAATCTCTCAACCGTGTAGTTAAACATTCATGGCCATAGCTATAAGTGCATTTTAATATTTAATATGTATGACTATGTATAGGCTAGTATAGCATGGTAAAAGTCAATAAACAGGATCACACTCACAGACATTTCTCAGCACTATATTATCTCATATATTTAATAGTATATGTTATGTTTTGGGCGAACACAATCGAACAAATTGACATACCTCTAAAAGATCTCCCTTTCTCACAACACTTGAATATGATAAGGCCAGTATTTTAATACACAAAAAATGTCTTTGCTTCGCTCCTGGCCTCGTTTATATATGCCACAAACTCACAAAGCTGCAAATCGAAATATTTTTAAACGCCATTCTTGGAACGTCGTTCGCAGATCGCTGAACAAAGTATTCGGCAGTCATCGATTTGCTATCGTAAACTCCTGGGGTATGATAATGCTGCAATGTAAATTCCTTTCTGCAACGTCATAATATGACGTCAAACTGCCGACAAACACGAAAAAATCGAGATACGCTTGAAGTGTATAAAACTGTTGGCGGGAAATTCAAATGCGCTATAACACATCGTCAAGAATAAGAGGGCTGCCTTCGGCAGCAATAACCTTGTAAATACGACAATGTTCGTTGATCATGTTCGATGTCTACATAACTAAATTCAAACCTTATTAAAAATGTGCTCAATTAAAAAAATTTATATACAAATTTACGATACTGAGTCTGAGCAATGGTCGTATCATTGATGTTATTTATATACTTGCAAGTTGTGATCAACACTAGACCATACTGGTATACACGACTACGCTTTCTACTTGACAAGTTTAAGTAGCTAAGGAGATTGCAAATATTTGCCTGACATGACTGTGTTATCAAAACATTTTTAGTCGGAGACTTGGCATAATTTTCAAGCTTCTAGATAGCATTTAATATGGCTTTATATTTTAGTAAACACATAGTTAATAGAGGAGATGGTTTGGAAACTTATTAGCATTACAATAAACCTCACTATCTATGTTTTTGTTCAGGTTTATGCAAAAATGTGGTCTTTCATCGTCACGTGCGTATTGTATTTTTGCTCAACCAGCCAATAGCAACGGTTTTGTCCAATTGCCCATCCATGACTTTAACAATAGGACATTTTGAACATTCCTATTGGTTGACTTGAGAAAAATACAATACGCACGTGACGATGAAAGACCACATTTTTGCATAAACCTGAACAACATAGATAATGAGGTTTATTGTGATCTTATTGTAATGCTAACGAGTTTCCAAACCATCTCCTCTATTAACTATGGTAAACACGAGTCATTTTTAGCTCGTTATTTAATTCTGACCGTATGGTAGCGAAACGTAGCCTATTTCACTGTTCCGACAGCATTAGAGCAAAACTAATGACTTAACTATAAACGCAAAGGAAATTTCCATAACATTTTCTATTTACAAATGCAATATACTTGGTAACCAGGCCAGGGACCACTTTTTTAAATCTAGGCTCTCTCCCTGAAGCGTTCCGCACAGCAAACCCAGGCATAAAACTTTTAAGACTTATTTAAATATACAAAGCAGCGAATAGAGAGAGGGCCTGGGACTAGGCTGGGAAATTGCCTTATTTCAAAAAATCCTAAGAATACGGCAATTTTCAAGGAAATGTGCTTCAGAATATGCTGAAAATCCTGTTCTGCGAGATGCAAAATCTGAAAATTTTCTGGGGGAGGACCCCCAGACCCTCCTGCTTATTCTCCTTAATCTAGGTAAACTCTGAACAAAAATATAGACTAGCCATACCTTTCGCCGAACATAACTTCGACCGCTTTGGACGAAACTACTTAGAGTGTCATTTACGAGCCTATATCTTCAAATCTGCATTTTTATCACGGTAACACATCTCTATCAAGCAACAAATGTTGGATGGATATTCCTAATTGTTCATTCTTCAAGACGATGGGATTACCGATTCCAGATAAAGATTAAAGAATTCAACGCTTAAATCTCAATTACGTAATACATTCGTTATTTTTTCGTTAGTGTATGACATCACTCGATATATCGGTATCAATTACGAAAATGACAATAGCACAGACAATAGTTTATAATACGGCAACAGTAAACTTCTAAAATTAGGGAAGGGTCATAAGGTAAAAGGGGGGTGGGGGTGGGCTGGGAAAATCATATATTTGGTGTCTGCAATTTTGGTAGCCCACCCCTTAATAGCTGCTCATAAATTTGCAGCCCACCCTTAAGGTTACTTCACATGATGAAATGGCGTTTTACAAAAATGCTCACCGCGCGCTCAATTTTTACGCTTTTGCCGTCAAATTTTGTGTACGTGATGATAAATCATTGTTGTAACCAGCAATTTAACAAAAATGTTATATTTTAAAACACTGTGGTTGCTACGGGCTACTTTTGAAAATCTGACCTCCTTTGCGTCACGAGATTTGCACGCCGCCGATTTAACCGTAGGACCTGCAAAACATCATATTTCCCATCTCAGATGATCAAATAACAAAAGTGTGTTCGCATTTTTTGACAGCTATTGTATTTGCTTTGATATAAAGCAGACAAGTTGACTTACACAAATTTTGTATACATGGTAGAACGAATGCCTATAACTCGAAAAGTATGGCGTTAAACGAAAAAAGCGAAAACACTTTTGCTCCTTAACAATTGTTCTACATTGTGGCAAAGTTTGGAAGGAATCGAATAAAACGTGCACGGTGCATTAGTCTTTTTGTGAGGACAATCTGGGAATATTTCATTCTGTGTAAAAGGGTAAAAGGCTAAAAGATATTTCGCGGGGTTTTTTCGCTCCCTGTTGTGTTTCTCCGCCCTCTGTTCTCACTTCAAGCTGTAAGCCAATCAGATGGAACCTCATCAAAGTACTTTTAGCAAGGTGGTTCTGCGTCATTTATTGATGATCTAGTTTGTTATAAGTGCGTAACAGGCAAAACAAAAACATTAAATATGCCGGCAAAACGCAAATGTAGGGAGAGCAAAGCGAATAAGGAGCAAGCTAAATCAGCAAAACGTAAATGTAGGAGATCTGTGGTGCGGTGTTACAATATTTCTCACCTGCATGCGGATCCGGTAATGAGTTCACACCAATTAGCAGAATGTCAATTACAATTACTATTTCCGCGGCAAAACTATTGAATTTAAAACAGTTTCAGTTATATCTCGGTCGCATTTTAATATTTTTGAAAATAATCTTTGAGGATCGAAAGATTTTCAGCCGCTCAATTCAAATATATAAAAATGTAAAAAATGATGGAATCAGAGTTTTCATCATATGGAGTAACCTTAAATTGGTGCTGAAAATTTGTGACCCACCCTTTCAGAAAGGGGAAAGATACCAGCATTCCATTTTTCTGTTGCCAAATAATTCTGTGTTACAATACTCAATAGCTATTCAAATGGTGCAATTAAATACAGAAAGGTCTTTCTTTGCATGGAACTTCCCATGCATACTCTAGTATCTTTCTCATGATTAGAGAACTTTAGTTTGACATTTACGGCTAACGCCAAACCTGTAACGCTTTAATTGTGATTTAACTACGCTCTCATAGAAATCACACTAATTTTGTTACATACTAAACATCCTGTACAATGCTCGTGACATTTAACAATAATATCAGAAAATTAGTTAGCCACTATCATATTAGCGACAGTGGAGGACACTTACGAAACATTCGGGGGGAGAGGGGTGGGATCGTGCCAAAGGCACGGGAAAATGTTAAAATTTGAATCCTGGAAATGGCATTTGCAGCATTCTGAGAACACATTTTGAAAAAAACTAGGTTTTCAACACACTGTTTTAATGGTGCGTTTTTTTATAAATCACATGCTAAGTATAGAAAACCAACATTTCAGAGAAAATGTTTACATTTGTGAATGGAATTGCGAGGTGCTTTAATTTAATTAACACGCCAATGACAATGTAAAGTTTATTCGCTAAGTGATGATGTTAATTGAATTGTCCATTGTTTTTGAGCATAACAGTTTAATACGCATTCAAACATTATTGTGCAGCAGGAAATTTCGCTATATAATTTTATAATATGAATTTTAATACACATGCCCTTGAAAAAATTTCTGCATATTTTTGCATGGCCCACCCTTATAATTAACTTTCAATGACCCACCCCTTCAACCGTGCTCAAAAAATAGTGACCCACCGCCCTATTTTTCCCCAGCCCACCCTCCCTTTTACTTTATGACTGATCCCTTAGCACTAATTATTCTAATTTTTAATACTCCTGTCAATCAAAAATTCGAAATCAACATATTCTGACCAATCAGAATGCTCCGGCACTCAGCTGCCGGAGAACTCAGAATGTGTAGTTTTTGGGCAGGCGGTATTTCTAGCTTGCCATTCTCTCGTGCCCGCGAATACCGCCTGCTACGCTTATTTTTGATCTAGCCAGTGGAAATTCCGTACTGATTTAATATTAATCGTAATCATAGCCAACAGAAGTCTCTGCGGAATCGGAGGAATGGGAGCATTGTGCTGCCATTGTGAACGTTGTGCTACCATCGTGAACGGTGTGCTGCCATCGTGAACGTTGTGCTGCCATTGTGAACGTTGTGCTGCCATCGTGAACGGTGTGCTGCCATTGTGAAAGTTCTGCTACCATTGCGAACGTTGTGCTGCCATCGTGAATGGTGTGCTGCCATCGTGAACGTTGTGCTGCCATCGTGAACGGTGTGCTGCCATCGTGAACGGTGTGCTGCCATTGTGAACGTTGTGCTGCCATCGTGAACGGTGTGCTGCCATTGTGAACGTTGTGCTACCATTGCGAACGTTGTGCTGCCATTGCGATCGAACGGTGTGCTGCCATCGTGAACGGTGTGCTGCTATCGTTAACGGTGTGCTGCCATCGTGAACGTTGTGCTGCCATTGTGACAGTGTGCTGCCATTACGAACGGTGTGCTGCCATCGTAAACGGTATCATGCGACTACTTTGTGCGCATTGTGTATAATTTGTTTATAAAAATGAATTTTGACCCTAATGCCGCTTTATAAACAATACTCTTATGGCGTACATGTTGTGTGATTAATGCATAAATGTAATGAAATTTTAAATAAAACTTCACTAACATGACAATCAACAAATGCTTACAATGTAGACATTGAATATTAACATATTTTAGCTTCTTGACGCGAGAATTACCGTATTTACTCGTTTGAGTGCCGCGGCGCTCTTTAAATTTTCAGAGCTTCAGATGCGGCGCTCATTCGGGGGCGGCGCTCAATCGGGGGCGGCGCTCTTTAAAAAATCTTTTATTTGTGGATTATAAAAAGAACTTTTAACAATAAAATAAACAAGTTTTAAAAGGTTTTTGTCTCTAAATGTCCCCATTTTGACGGCGGAAAGTTTTTACACTGTTTAGTGCGGCGCTCATTCGGGGGCGGCGCTCTTTAAAAAAATTCGCTCAATCGGGGGCGGCGCTCAATCGAGTAAATACGGTATGCTAATACAGCATATATATTAAAATATCATATGTCAGACGATCATTAACAAAACCGATGGCTTGGTACTCCAGTTTACAAACCTTTAATATGAACTAAAGATACATCGCTATAAAACCATAAATTTATCTACCTTCTTGCAGTGCAAGCTTTGTCTTTCTCTAGCAGTAGCTCTCTGCGCCAAAATTTCTAGTGAGGCTTCTGCTTGTGTTGTAGATGGCGCCACTCAGTAGCTTGTCAACAAAATTCGTCCGTGAGGCATCGATATTCTTTTCAAGCTCCGTATACAAACGTTGTATAAAGATTCCAAATCGTTTGCCGCAATCGCAAACAGAACATTGTCGAAAATGTTTCCAGATATCGCTGGTAGAAATCACTCGTAATAGTAAACGTTCGAAATAGTAAACACTCAGAGATAAACACTAATGCCGTGTTGACGAATAACTCGCGCTGCGGATCCGTCGAGAATATAAGCCAATGACAATGCAGAATTTTTCAAAATGATTCAATCAGAAGGCTCATACAGAGCCCCTGAATCTGCAAATCCGTCAGGCCTCCCCACAGATCCGTCGCAAATGGCCGTAACCATGGAAATGAGCGTGTCAGCCAATCAGATAGCCGGATTTAACCCCCGAATCCTTCAACTTTCATGCGTAAGACCGCTGTTCGTGACTGACTAACATTACTTGCCGAAGCTCTGCCGCAGCATGAAACGTATAACTGGACTACCGGTACGATTCAAAATGTTAGCAACTCGATCTACTGGCCACTATAGATAGCTGGAGTCAATTTTTTTAAGTAGGCAATTTTTACTTCAGTCGCGCGACTGATTTGACGACCCCTAGATCCGCCCCTGCCTCTAATAAGAATAATGATAAATTACGGTTAATATTCTTTTTTACTTTTTGTGCATTTTGTCCTTCTTTTATTTCAAATACAAGTATAGTTAGCATAAATTTTAGAGCAAATTTGGATGCTCAGAATGCAGGAAATGGCATTTCCGTGTTTCAAATTTCAAAAATTTTCTGGGGGAGTACACTCCCACACATGTGACCATTGGGATCCTCCTCTAATAAGTAATGATAAATTATGGTTAATATTTTTTTTTTACTTTTTGTGGTTTTTTTTCCAAGTACAAGTATAGTTAGTATACATTTTGGAGCGCATTTGGATGCTCAGAATGCAGGAAATGGCATTTCTGTGCTTCAAATTTCAAAAATTTTCTGGAGGAGTACACCCCCCTCATACATGTGCATGTACGGAGTCGTATTAGTGCCATTGAAATATTGCGCTTGAATTTCATATTTCTCGATTTTTTTCTCGCGTCTAACTTTTTTTCTCGTGTCTGAAATTTTTTCTCGCGTCTGAAATTTTTTCTCGCGTCTAACTTTTTTTCTCCCGTATGAAATTTAGTTTCTCGCGTCTAACTTTTTTTCTCGCGTCTGAAAATTTTTCTCGCGTCTGAAATTTTTTCTCGCGTCTGAAAATTTTTCTCGCGTCTGAAATTTTTTCTCGCGTCTAACATTTTTTCTCGCGTCTGAAATTTTTAATACATGTAGTTGTAGCGAGTCTGTCGACTGACTATATTACTCTATAACTGATAGCAATTGTGTATCTCCAGTTTTTATAAATACAAAAATGAAGTTCTGCTACTTTTGTTTATTTTGTTTACAGGTAAACTACGTGAAGCGTTCCTCTTTTGACTTCGTAACTCATTTGGAATTTTCCTCATTAGCTTTGCAAATTTGAAAAACTCTTTGTAAATCCCATGAGGGAATTTGCAATGTTCCTACCGGCTGTTGCAATATTCCAAACTTCATTTTAAATTTTCCTAACTTCCTGTTTTAATTTCCTAACTTCCTATTCTGTTCTGAACGTTGTTATTGGTCGATTATTTTTGTTAGCCAATTGCAACGCGCAGAGCAAAACAGGAAGTTAGGAACTTGTAACAGGAAGTTAAGAACTTCTAACAGGAACTGAGGAAAATTTTATCGGCTTTTAGCAACATTGCAAATTTCCTCAAGGGATTTGCAAGGGAGTTTTTTAAATTGCAAAAGTAATGAGGACAACTGCAATCAATTTAGAAACTCAAAAGAGGAACGCTTCGCGTAGTTTACCTGTAATATTCATCGAGCTTTTTCTGAAATGTAGTGGAGTTTTGCCTCCTTATTTGCCATTTCTTCAAGTCGGCGATCTCGAACGTGATGAGTTAATCGAACATTATTTCAACATGGGAATTTCTTACTCAGAAATTTTGATGTTTTTGGGATGTATTCACGAAATTTATTTAAGCATTCGACAACTAAAGAGGATTCTCAGCAGTCGAGGCCTTGGAAGAAGACTAACCGTTCTAATCTTGACGACGTTTGCCGTGTAATCAGATTTGAATTACAAGGAAGTGGAAGTACATTAGGGTATAGGCTGATGACTCGGCGATTATTAAATGAACACAACATTTCTGTTGATCAGGAGACAGTAAGGGAACTTTTAAAGATATTGGATCCAGATGGTGTTGCTGCTAGATCGAGGCATCGCTTGCAGAGAAGAGAGTATACAACAGAAGGTCCAAATCACGTTTGGCATGTTGATGGATATGACAAACTAAAACCTTTTGGTTTTTGCATACATGGGGCTATTGATGGATACAGTAGACGCGTAATGTGGTTGGAAGTTGGCCCCTCAAACAATAATCCGCGTATAATAGCTCAATATTATGTTGACTGTGTACAACAAATGGGCGGGACGTCCAGAATAATACGGGCAGATTGTGGGACCAAAAATGTTTATACGTTGCTGGTTTACAACGTTTCTTTCACAATGACAATGAAAGTTTCCTGTATGGAACATCCTGTTCAAATCAGCGAATTGAGGCGTTTTGAGGAATGCTGAGAAAAAGTTGCATTGATTGGTGGATTTGTTACTTTAAGGATCTCCGGGAAAGCAGTTTGTTTTGTGACAGTGATGACATTCGGGCTGAGTGCCTTAAGTTTTGTTTTATGAACATCATTCAAGAGGAACTCTCAATGTTTTCCCAACAGTGGAATTTACACAAAATAAGAAAATCTACAAATGCAGAATCACCAGATGGTCGGCCTGATGTGCTTTACTTTTTGCTGATGCAACTAGTTCACGTGATCTCCTCACACCTGTCTCACCAGATCAGATCGAAATTGCGCGTGAGCGATGTTGTGTTCAGCCACCACAATTTGGATGCAGTGCTGAATTTGTCGAGCTTGCGTTATTCATAATGCAGTAAAATAATCTTGTGATCCCAACTAGCACAGAGGAAGGCATTATTTTGTATACCAGACTGATTGAGGAAATTGAAAACATATAGATTATACAGCAAAGAGAGCAAAATCCGGCATAAAGAAATAAGAATATACAATCATTTTCAAATATGTTTGGACAGATGTTCCAACTACCAATTAATATATAATTTTGAAAAACCTCCCCCCTGTTCAATGTTGGATCGCAGTTAGCATCCTATTTTGGTGTGCTATGTCTGGATTAGGTTAGCAACATTGAACTGGAGGGGACGGGGGAGAGATAAAATATTTGTAATAATTTGCATATATCCACTCATGATCTATGAGGGTCCTGAAGGGGTAAAATGGGAACTGGGATTTTCTTATTTTTGGGTGGGAAAATGGGATTTCATGCACTGGCGCTGGGATTTATCAGCAAAAAAAAAAAACAATAGAAAATGGGAATGGGATTAAGATTTGAGCAGGAGAGCCACTGAGATGATGGGATTTGTGCTCTGGAACAATGGGATTTAGTCGAAATTTGGGCTGGGAAATGGGAATACGACCCCTCCTTCAGGACCCTCATCTAAAACAGCTAGTGTCCCAACACTGACTTTTGAAAATGATTGTACGTAGTAGCAGATTAATTAAGAATGTCGGAACTAATGTGAACAATGAAACGCTACTAAACAACTAACATAAATTATATAAACAGTTGTGTTGTGATTATACTGACCTAATTACTAATGAAAATAATGAACGGAAGTGACGCGCTAATTTACTGTTGTTTTTAGCCAATTCATTATGTACATGTGCTTATGAATTATGGTGAAACTTTTATTGTGCACAACGTTTTATGTAACAAGGGAAATCGAGAAAAAAAATACAAAAATAAGAGAGTTTAGTTGACAAGTTTACCAACAAGAACACACAGCCTGAAATTTGGCATTTAGACACCCATTTTTATTAGAACCAATTGAACCTTGTATGAAACTTCTTGCATTCCGTTCCATTAATTAATAAACAACTCATCAAGCGAAACAGCAAGTTTTGTGAATCTTCACCTTCGAAGATTCACAGCCTTTTATAGCTTTCATAGAATTGTTGTCCCAGTAAAAAAATTCTGGTACAAAATTGTCCCATTCCCTCTGGCTCTGCCAGTTCCAATAAACTTAATAAAAATATGGAATACAACAGTCAACATTAAATGAACAAAATATGAACTAAACATAAATTATGATTTTCGTCATTTGCATCAGTTTAGAGCAAAGCAATCTAAAACCACTCTGGTTAAAATATGATTTAAAATTTTTAAAATAAAATTTCTTGGTTAAACTAATTCAAAATTAACACTGTTTGTAGTAACTTAATGTTCCTGGTTAACAAAACCACAGTCCTGGTTAATTTGATCATAGTCCTGGCTACTTTAGCCAAGATTCCTGGTTAGTTTAACCAGGCTAAATGGTTGAAATGACCGGATTATGTTAGGTGGATTGTTAACCAATAATTCCTGGTTAACAATGCAACTAACATAATCTGTGGTTAAATTATCCACGATAGTAATCAATTACAAATTAACCAGGATTGTGGTTAAATTATCCAGGATATTTAACCAGGAACATTAGGTTTCCCCAAACAGTGTAAATTTTAGTTTAAAAAGGATATTTTTAACCAGGGTGTTTGTAGAGTGTGGCATATACTAACTGCCAGTACCAAGTTTTTTTTATAGGTTACTTATCGGCAATTAGGGCAAACCAAAACCTCGTCCGTTTTGAATTGCAAAGTCCATGTCTGCTTTGAACTCATCATAGGTGCTGTGTACAACTGGAAGACGCAAAATAGCAGAACACGCATTGCTTTTAGGAAACCTTGACTTTTCTCCCCATTCTTCAAAATCATGTAAAAATTCAATGGTAGGATAAATCTTTCTGGCTGGCAAAACTTTGCATCCTGTTGTGAAGAAAAGGACATCATTGAGTTCAACAGCTTCTTCTCCCTCTTCAATATCTTGGACATAATCTCGCCAGCGGGAAAGCACCAAGCTCTCAGTAACAGCTTTGTTTGAGCCAACGGGACTATCAACAACTTTAAATAGGTTATCAAAGGTTGTCTATGGTAAGATTTGAAGGGGTATGACAGAATGATGACTCAAAGGCTCTTGGGTTTCTTCTGATCGCATCAAGAACTCCTAAAGCGGAAAGACCATTTTCGAAAGCCTCAAAAGACGCGTTGGCACGCCCAATCACATACCACTTCGCCGTTAAAGCTGCGATCTTCTTGGCGTCTTCTGTTGTTTTTATCTGCTGAAAGGTTCCAGCAAGGTCCAGAACGGTCGTCAATTTCTCGTCGTCCAATATTTCCGTAGCAGCCGCTGCAATAGGAGCATCATGAAGTAATTTAAGAGCGTTCTGCAACTCTTTATCATACACGTCAGGTTCTAACCAGGGCACGTCAGGTTCTAACAAGGTTCTAACCTTGGCCCCATCCTATTCCTCTTGTATATTAACGATCTACCTAAGTGTCTAGAAACAACCAAGGCCAACTTGTTTGCTGATGACACAAATCTTTCGTGTGCCGGCTTAGATGCCAATGAAATCGAGACTAAACTTAAAAAAGAGATCTTGAGAATGTTCATAGTTGGCTTAGATGTAACAAACTCACGCTAAACGATAGCAAAACGGAATTTATGATAATTGGCTCTAGACATCATCTTACTAAATTTGAAGACAACCCAGAGATTTCATTAGCCATACGAGATAATAATATTAAATGGGTCACCAACAACAAATCTCTTGGTTTTATCATCGACGATCAATTAAAGTGGGGTATACATATTGACGCACAATGTAAAAAAATCTCAAAAAATATTGCATTATACTAAGAAGAGCCAAGTCCTTTGTTCCTTTACACATTTTAATCAAAATGTATAATGCTCTAGTATCTCCTCACCTGACATATTGCTCAACAATATGGAATAATGGATCTAATACCATTCTTAACAAACTCTCTAAGTTACAAAGAAGAGCAGCTCGGGTTATTATAGGACAATCATACGATGTTCGTTCCACTCAAATACTAGAAAGTCTCAATTGGATGCCAATTGAAGATATTTTAAGGAAAAGAGAAATAATTATGACGTTTAAAGCTTTAACTAACAGACTACCCGATTATGTGCAAGAATTTGTTCACGAGATGCGAAAATAGTAATTATTCTCTAAGAAGCAATAATGTTAAACTATCTTTGCCTAAACCAAGAACTAACTTTTTTAAAAGAAGTTTCTCTTATAGAGCAGGAACGAATTATCGGATGAAGTAACTAATAACATTCAGGATTTATACACTTGTCATCGGCTTCCCCGAGGGGTCGACCCCCAGGCTGACCACGGGGATTGTCCAAGGTGGGGATGCAATCTTAATGAATTTCCCGGGGGTGGAGGAACATAAGAAATCAAAGTCCCGTGGTCATTTCCTTACCTGTCGTGAATTCCCTCCCCCCCAGCGTCTTTTAAGCTAATAAAAAGGCCTACTTATAAAATCTCATGATACACATAATCATTCGATAATCCAAAAGATAAAATCTAATCATCGGTATTTTGATACTGGATTTGAAGAAAATACTAAACATTTTACATATTTATGCTATAATTTAATACGGTATAACATACACAAAATGAACATAGATTATACTGTCTTATACCTTTATTTTGAACTGTAAAACACAACAATATTAAAATTGCTAGTGACCCTCTAGTGTTAAAAGTGAGAGACCAGTATGATATCTTTGATATGCATTTTATGGGCCGATTAATATAACCAGCCTCGTACCCCGCGTTATGATGCTACCTGATCATTGTGTGACGTGCGTCGATAACTTGACGGCAATAGATAGTAGGTCACGCAATAATTTTTGCTAAGATGAAACCAACTTTTATAATATAAAATTACATCGAAATGCATGAAACCTCAAAAAAGCGAACTTTAAACATTTTTAACATTAAAAAGTCAAAACATGCTGCAAAAGGTTGCAAAGCATCTGAGTGGTACAATTTCTACAATAAAAGTTTTCCCGTAGTTCTGCCTCTTGCTCCGTGAGGTTAATACAATTGCCATGGAACCAGACATCGCAACTGTCACAACATATCATGAACCTAAGAATGAGAGAAAACAAAGGGAGAGGTGTACAGCAGAGTTTAAGTTTGATAATCTATTCTAACTGAATTGGGGGCTAACACTAGTTTACAAACAATGGTGCTCTAAAAGAGTTACGAAACAATCAAACAAAACAGCATATTAAACAAGTAGGAAAGGGTTTATAGTATGGCTAGTTGGTCTGTTATTATGAAGACCATACCTTCCGTCATCTGCTTCATTATAGATGCAGTGCAATTCTGGTCGTGAATCTTTTTCCACTCGTGAATCAAGGTCTCCCGTTGAATCGTTTTCTGCTCATGAATCAACGTCTCCCGATAAATCCTTTTCAGCTATACTCTCTGAAAACGTAAAAAAACCCATCAAATGTACATTTGAAACAATTTGGAATGCCCAGACTCTTTTATTATCAACGTTAAGTTAAGGCACTGCCGACGATCCAACTTAATGGATCGAAAGCTCAGCAAAATAAATTTCAATCACCACTTATTTCATATGCCATGTATCTGCAATATGATCACATAAATGCATGAAACTATACACCGTTTTGACATTTACATCACTTAGCCTGGATTACTCGTTCTCATGGGTTGTTGGCCAATAGCCTTACGTCTTTTACAAATGAAAAGAGATGCTTACAGGCCAAAAAACACGCTGGGCACGAATGGCGCCAAAAATGCCTGGCATTTTCGTGATGTTCCGCCATCTTGGCCGCGCCATGTTTTTGGGAGAATAGGTACGAAATAGCAATCATGCTCGATAGCAATGTTTTGGCCATTCGTAAGATGATCGGTTTGATTCGTTTATGTTTCGGTGTGTGCCGCCGTAAAGCGTCTTTCTCAACGTTCATTTTGATATCCAGCATGGCAGCATTGCTCAGACGAGTGCCGTTGCTTTTGATCGATGAAAATCTACAAAATATAGGCAATAATGCGTGCCTGATATAAACGGCATTTTCTGCCTTGTTTTATTTTTGACATAGTCTATTGATTTGCATCGAATCTTTGTGGAGAGATGGTTCAATACCAATATTTTGTCACCTTTTTTGTTTATTGATATTTGAATGCCAACGTGTGATTTGAGAGACTTTTACTTGGCATATGAACTACGCACGGGATGCCACATTTTAAAGTTGGGGAATATATGAAAAAGTGCAAAGAAGTGCGCAATGCGGGTTTCATGACAAAGAGAAACCTTAGAGACGCTCAAGCAGAAGTTTCTCAGTTAGAAATGGAGCTACAGAGGAAAGATAAACTATTACGAGGTTTACAAGAACGAAAGAGACGCATGGATGCCAAGGTATGGACTTCATTAGTATATTCTTGTTTACTTATTGTATAGTTTTAAAGGGCATTATAATATGCAACATGAGCAGTCGTAATGTATAATTTTATAGGTACAGTCACAGAGCATTTACATTTACAGGTTTTTTCTGCAGATGATATGTTGTGTATTGAATATACAGCTTATTTTTATTACTTATATGTACTGTAGATTTCCAATTTGGAAGATGAGGTTGATAGCTTGCCAGAGAAGTCCAGGTTTACCCAGTGTAGCATTCTATCAGATAGAGCAGTGGAGAGTAGAAAGAAACATCCTACAAGGTTTCAAAATAAGAAATTCTCATCTAGTTTATCTGTACAGAGACAGAGAAGAAAAGAAACATTTGCTGCAGCTCAAAAAATTCATGGTGGAAGTGAAGAAACAGAAGTACCGGGAGCAATAGGGATTGTGGACACAGCATTGGTTAAGTGTAGTCAGAGTATTTTAGTAGATGTAATGTCGGTTAATCAAAAGTTTAATCAATCAGTTATGCCTAGTATTTACAAGCCTAAGTTAGGAGAATTTGAGTCTTCCACTGAAAACATGATTCGCAGTGTTTCAGTATATTATAGCGGTGGTGTAGCTGGAAAAAAAAAGTATAGAAAAATATACAAAGATTCCAGCTACAAGATTGCTATGCAAAGTAAGGGTAAAAAACGTGTTCGGCTATCCGTCAATAATTGTCCCATCCCTAGGCTTGTGCCATATAACAAATTAATGCCTTTTATCAAGTCTATACCAGTAGGATCTATGTATAGTGTATATGAAACACTTTGTGAAGGTCTTGATGAGGAATACAAAGTACATGGTTGTTATAGGAATTTGGCAGAATTGTTGATAAAGTTGGCAGAATTTTATTTAAGTGGTTGTAGTGGTCACACACTTGTGTGGTTTGAGGAAGAATACAAGTTTTATGTTTCCCTGGGTGGTGATGGGGCGCCTTTTGGGAAACATGATACTGCATGTGCGTGGTTGGTTGGATTTTTGAACATTGGCTGAGGAATTTTGAGTACAATCCTGGAAAAAAATTAGTAGACTTCTTAAATTTTCAAACTTTGTCCCCCTCCCCCCTTATACAATGTTGGTATTTAGGTGACATGTGTTGCAAATCCACTTTACCTGAACCAACATTGTTTTGGGGGGGGGG